CAAAGAGGCTTAGTGTTTTCAATATAAGTATAAGATGGGGTTGCTTAGCAATATTCAAATGAGATAGAGTCCCTCTTCTGGAATTAGTTATAAAACAGTAATTCATGTGAGTGTGTAAGACTCATAAAAAGGAAACAATATCTTAGCAGTTAAATTTTTTTCTTCCTCTTTTTTAATTTTTTGGTACCAGGGATCGGACTCAGGCCCTTATGCTTGCGAGGCAGGTGCCAGAACCACTGAGCGAAATCCTTGCTCCGCCCTTTCTGGAACAGCTAAATTTTAACAAGATAGGACACTGTGCAATTAAATTAAAACAACCCAAACTGTCAGTACATGTTGTGCAGATTCATTTAATCAAATAACACTAATTATACATGTATTGTTAGGTGTGGATCATAATCATTCACCAATTTTTCCTAAGTGCATGCTAAGTTATTCATAGAATTGGCCATTAAAACAAGGTCTCAGTTCTCAGCTAAGATCATATATTTGTGTATTTTTCCATTCTGTTTTTGATTCATAATGCACATTTCTTTCTTTTCATTAAAAAATTGAACAATATTTAATAAAATACAAAATACACTTTTCTCACATTATAATCAGTGTTGTTCTGTTGGCATTCCCTCCACCCATACCACCTCCTTTCAAATCTGAACTCTTGATTTCCTCTTAAAGCTAGAAGAATTAAGACGTTACAGCATTAAATGGACCAGAATAACAGAGATCTTGCCTTTCCCCAGCCCTCACTCTTTCTCCTACACCTTCTCAGAGGTGGGCTTGAGGGAGGGAAGCTTCCCCTCATGGTGCCCACTCAACAGGACTCCACGCAGAACTCGCATATGCATGTGTGTTACTTTTCACCATGGATTTCATATTGTTTTTGTGGAGCATCCTGGTTGGGAAGGGCTTCCTTAAGTGAGCCTGTGTCCTTTTTGTCTCCTTCTTTCCTTCTCTACTCATGTTCTTCCCCCACTCCATCACCACCACCAGTTGGCTTCAACTGAAATAATCCCTAATGAATCAGCATTTAGAATAGTCACAAAATCCCAAGCATGACAAAAGCTTCCACTACCCCAAGCTCCCCACTGTCAGCCTGTCCTCCCTCTGCACCTTAAAACAGAACCTTTTTTGAAAAATCATAAAATGCCATGATTGTCTACAATCATTTGTCAGATACCTGAGACAACAGGTGGGCATGACACAACATTAATTTATGGCCTCCCATGAATCATTCTCTCCGCTGCTCCTCTCCTTCCCGCCCTCTCCCCTGATGCCACACATCTTCAGGGCCTCCTCCTCTGGGGAAACTGAATAGACACATTCCTTGCGGAGTGGGTTCAGCCCAACTTCAGAGATCTGGTGCAAGGTGAAAGCTTTTGACTCAGAGCTAAGCCAGCTCCCTTCTGAAGCACTGTCCCAGTGCACAAATCCTGGACTTGTACACATGGGCAAACACTCAGTCCATTTAAGGATTCACTTGAATTTCAGTGGTTTTACTGCTTAAAATACATTTACAGATCTATACTTCCCTTGGCCTCTGAAGAAAAAAAATTATTGCCTCTCAACATTTTGGCACAGTACAAATTCAGTGCTTTTTGGGTCTGTTCTGTTGTTGTTTATTTTAATAAGATAAATCTGCAAAGACAGTTCTCAGTTTAAGAAAGATGTCTGTAAAAAGCCGGGCATGGTGGAGGTGCATGCCTGTAATCCCAGCACTTGGGAGGCTGAGGTAGGAGGATCGCTGTGAGTTCGAGACCAGCCTAGGCTAATGTCTGCAGAAACAGGTATTCCTGAATCCTACGAAGCATCTAAAAAAATGACAAATGCAAATGATGCACATTTCTTAATGTCCAAGCCATTACCTCATCTAAAAGGTTCCTTTGCAAACTCATGATGTATTTCAGCACCAGTTTACATGCCTCACCTGAAATACCTGCTACTGATATCTAGATGTTAAAAACGGACCTTTAAAAATTAGGAATTTTAAAGTTAAATTCTTTCACTAGCTTCCCCATACTGACAGTGGGAGTTTTCAACAGAAGCAGGTTTTCAACATTTTTTGAGTCCTTTAATCGGTCAAAACTTGGATAAATGGACATAAGCATAGTTTCTAGCTTTTCTTTGACCCCTTCTGTAGACCAGTAGTATCCTTTTGTGCTTTCCAGAGAGGTTACTAGGTACTGCACGTTATTCACGTCTGATAACTTTGAGATAGAGTATCTGTGATATTTCATTATAATTTTGTTTGTATTCTAATACAGATCGCTAGACTATTTTTAACAGGGATTCTGTGTCTTTACTAACAGCATCTTTATTCAATTAGTTGTTTGATCTAGAAATATTAATGTCATCTTTAAAACCTCATTTGCCTTCTAGTTTATATTTAATTACTTACTGAGTCTTATAAATTGTGTTCACAATGATTTTCAGTTCTCTCTTCTTCTTATTATCCTAATCGTTACTACTCTAATTAAAGTAATATGGCTTTTGGCCTTCAGTATAAAATAATGCCTAATTAGCCTCTGCTACCACATCACCTTGTCCTTCAATCTTTACTGCCTTTATATTATTATCAATAACATCTTCTAGGACATGCACCTATTATTGCTACTTCTCTTGAATAAATTGATGTGTGCCTCTTGGTTGCTATAGAAAATTGTTCAAATTCCGTGTAGTGTCACTCAAGTACCTTCACAATTATTTCTAAAATACTCAGCCCTTTCAGACTTCTGGTCTCCACTTCAAACTATCCACATTTCCATCAGTCTCCTCATTTACTGCCCCACATTTCTGTGTCTGCTCTCTTCCCTCATCTGGATGGCCTTTTCTCCAACCACTTTTACTAAATTTTTAGATTTGATTCATAATTTATTTTTTGTGAGACTTTCTTCAGACTTCTCTTGGCATGTCCATACATTTTTATCAGACCTCTACAACAACACTTAATGCACTGAGTTGCAAGAAAGCACGAGTCTGCCTGTCAAAGCTTAAACTCCTGAAGGCAACATTTTTCTATGTTATATATGGAATATTCATTCTCATTATAACGTGAAGCAATCAGGGACTAGGGATGTAGCTCAGTGGCGCTGCACCCGCCTGGCAAGTGCAAGGTCCTGAGTTTGATCCCTGGTACCTGCAAAATAAATAAATAAAATGAAGCAATCAATGTATATTTTGCACTCCAAAATTCTGTGAGGAGTAAGGTAATTCTGAGACTTTTATAAAATAGCTATTTAGTCATACTATTTGCTATTTAGTTGCAAGTTCTTAAATTCAGAGATATTTCTAATTAGGATATAGTCCATGGTATTTCACAGGCACTTTTTGGAGTCTAAATATTCTGGTAATATAATTTTTTGTAGTACTATTCTAGACTTCACAGCCCTGTTACCACAAAAGAGAAAAAGCCTAGAATCTGGATGTCAAAATTGATTTTAAAAAACCTGTATGTAGTGTATATCAAACTTGGGTTACTAATTTAATTAGTATCATAAATCTAGTTACTATCTTTCTATTTTAAAAAGCAGTGGCTTCAAATGTACCTAATAGGCCTGTAGTGAAAATAGTCTATTAGTCATCTCATTTTATTCTTTAGACATATTGCATGTGTTACCATATTTATGAACATTATCTTTTACAACTTTTATATAATAATTTAAAATATTTTCTAGGGCTGGAAAATATTCTTGATATAAAATTTTATATATACTTTTCTAGAATTCCAAAAGCTGTCACAGTTATATATTTATAAAAATAAAAGAAAAAAATAAAGGCCTTAAACTGAAAGACAGTTATGATATTTTCTAATTAAGAGATGGAGTTGAACATACTGATTTTTTCTAAAATAACTCATTTTCATGCTTGATAGACAATTTTATGAAGCTTTTTATTTAACTTGAAAGACCAGTAGGTACTGTTACCTTACATATCAGGTTCAGGACTTAATTTATTTTTCTTAGAACCATATTGACAAATTAAGGTGAATAATTTCTACAAAGCAAACATAGTAAGGGCATAAAATATTTCACTCAAAGTATTAAACTTGAATCCATTCTGGAGTAATTGAATACAGTGAAGTAAAAAAAACTCAAAATGAAAAATGAAATCAAAGCGAATTAAATAATGGAGTTGAATATTTCAAAATAATTTGTAAGGTTAGAAAAAGAAAATAGACTAAAACATCTTGAATAGTTGTAGTAACTTATTTTTCTTTTAAGCTGATTGTCAAATGAGTCAATGGCAAAGGGTTTTGTTTAAGAAACAACAGATATCAAATGAGTCAATGGCAAAGGGTTTTGTTTAAGAAACAATAGACTACATTATAGTCTTACAAATTAGTAGCTTTAATATACCTGAACAGAGACAATGAAACTACATAAAACAACAGCACAGATATCAACAGGTTAAATTTGCTTTGAACCTTTCAAAAATAAACTATTTGTGGGTCAAATTCATATTATATAATTTGTTGGTGATAGTTTGTTTCTAAAATTTTAGCCTTTTATTTTTGCTCAAAATTTCCCTATTTATTATTTGAAGAAAGATTTAGAGAGCCTTCTTATATCTCAAAAAAACTTGCATTGTTCATTTTCAAGTATTACTGTATATGCCATAACAATAAAAAGTCATGGTCATTTTCTAAATACTGCTTCCTTACTATTCTTGAATTCTCATTGGGTTGCATTATTGGCCTATGATGAGCTCTAATTATTGAAACATTGAAAATAACTCGGGAGGAGGTAGATTGTTGAGAGAGTAGTAATGACAAGGAATGATGTTAAAGTTCTGGGATATTACAAAGAAAAATAGTCAGATATATATTTTAAAAAGTAGGTCCTTACCTTAGCTATAGCAAACACCTCTTAGTTAAATACTGATGTGAATTTAGGAAACTGATAAACAAGAGCCAAAAATTGAGAAAGCAAAAGCAGAATTACTGTGACAATATTCAAAATTATAAAAGTAAGCAAACTACCTTGGCCAAAAACATGTAAACTTACAGTTGTCGTATAAGCAGCTTCTGGATCATCTTCCAGTACTCGAGAGAGACCAAAATCAGAAACTTTGCATACTAAATTGCTGTTCACCAATATATTCCTAGCTGCTAGATCTCGATGAACATAACCCATATCCGAAAGGTACTTCATGCCTGATGCAATGCCACGGAGCATGCCGACCAACTGGATGACTGTGAAATGGCCATCATGTTTCTGCAAGAGAAGCAAAATTGTTTAAATGATTGCTTTTAAAGCAGTGTGCATGCGTGTATGCTAAATAAACCTCTTAGATTTATTTTACTAGGTCCAGTGAGGATTAGCATCATGTTTGCTAACCACTGGTTTTGTTCATAAACCAATATAAGAATTTTATGTCTAATAAAAGAAAAAGGGAACAGGTGGTCAGAAGGGCAGGAAAGCCTATTACTGGATGGAACCTGTGTAGTAACTATGAATACTATAAAAAATGGCAGACCAGGTCACTCAGGGGGGGAAAAAAAAGTGATGGAATAAGTAAGAAAATAACTGGGGGAAACAGCAGTAGAAATATATTTAAAAATACAAGCAAACAGAAAATAAATAGTTTTCTAAGTTTTAATTTTATGAGACAAAAACAAAAGAATTGACAATTGAATGAAAACAAGACTGCTCTAACTCCTGGTTGGGAAGATTAAATTAAACGATGTATGATGAATAATATTCCAGGTGAAGTAATTCTATGTAATAGTTAATTACATCTTATTTCCACCCCCTTGATTTTAAAAACAATGTGGATTTCACAAAAGAGTTAAAAAAACCCAATTTTTATTTGTGCAAAATGCGTTCACCAACCAAAACAGATACAAATAGCATCCTTAAATTAGAGAATTTTAAGTTTGAAAAATAATGTATACTGGGGCCAGGGATAATTTAGCTCAGAGGTTCTGCTGCCTGCCTGGCAAGTGCAAGTTCTCAAGTTTAAAAAAAAAAAAAAAGTTCAGTACCAAATAAACCCCCCCCAAAACAACAAACAAACAAAAAACCCAAAACCCAAAACAAATCCTCCTCTCCAAATTATGCACAATGTTCTTCTTTGTTATTTGGAAACTGTGCTATCTTTAAAAGGGGGTATAGGGAAACATTAAAAATTCTCATTTTTATTTATCAGAAAAAATTAATAAGAAATCCGTAGTAAAAGATTATTGGAGTATATTATTTTACATAACATAGAAAAAGCACAAACAAAAGTATCTTAAAATATTTCAAATTCAAAGCAGTTTTCACCGACATTTGATTTAAAGTTTCAGTGAATCTGTAATCCTAACACTCATAGAGGCTGAGGCAGGAAGATCACAAATTTGAGCCCAGCTCAGGCAACTTAGTTACTTAGCAAGATCCTGTCTCAAAAACAAATTAAAAAGGCTAGAAATATACCTCAGTGTGAAGTACTTGAATTCAATCCCCCAAAATAAAATAAAGCAATGTGCTGCAGTGTAGATTAACACATGGATGACCTGATAGTATCTGTCATAGTGATTTTCCCTCCTATACCATTGTGATTCATTGGTCAGTTAAATGAATGCACCTATGTACTACAAATGAAATAAACTTTGTTTTATGTATCAACTTATCTCCCTAACAGTTCTTAGATAATATCTCTTACCTCAAGTGCAGAGTAAAGAACTCTCTCTTAAGAGGTACTCTTACAGCCAGATACCCATTTGAGCAGGCTCTTCTGTATAATTAATGTACAAAAGATAACCTAGCAGAGAAAATCTTTGATGTTATTAGCTCTTTATGTTTCTAATCTATCTTCTCAGACAGTACACTATTAAATGAAATCTGCCTCTTTTATCATGTACGCCACCCTCCATCTACCTCCTTTCTATTTGAAACCTCACAACTTCTGAGAAGAATTGAAAGCATAAATTATTTTGGCCTAGAAAGGACTTCACTAAATTTTAAAAGATATGTCTTTTATCTCTTAAAAATTGCCTTTGCTTCATATCACAGTTATTATCAAGGAGGATTTCTAAATAGTAGGAAATGTTAATGGACCACCTGAAAGCTACAGTGTGCCTCAGTTTCCTTATGTGCACAGAACAGTCCTGTAACTTAGAATTGTAGGGATATTTTCATATAAAACACAGAGTACACCTCTGAAACTATTCTAATAGCAATTATTATTTATTAAATCCTGTGATTATTATATCAACTTTTTGTAATTTTATTGAGTTAGAAAATTCTCTTGGTTTCCTGAAAAATGAAGTGTCAGCATAAGCTTCTTGGGCACATAAAGAGAAATAGTTGCAGAGCAAAAGGAGGAGGTCTGGGTTAGCTGTGCAGAGATCCCATCCTTGTTCTGGCCTGCAACAAACCAACTGGTGAGGACTGGTTGCCCACCTGGTAGGTCTGCCCTTGCCCTGGCCTCACCCCACTTGCATCAAGGGGAAGAAGGAGGTCTGGGTCAGCTACTCAGAGATTCAGTCCTCGTCTGGCCTGCAGCAAGCCAACTGGTGAAGACTGGTTGGCCATGTGGGTGCCTCTGCAATATCCACCCACTGTGCTCTCAGTGCTCCTGATTGTGCCAGTTCTTAGATCCAATTTGCAGAGGCACAGGTGGTCATAAAGTTCATTTTTCTGGGTTCCAGAAGATATAGCAGAAGTGAACAAGTGCAGTAAAGGCACATCAGATCTCCATAGTTGGTAAGTTGGAGAGATCACCACCTTCCATCAGAACTTTGACTATCTTCAGAGAAAGGGCAGAGGGAACTAGCAGTAGAACCTTGCAGAATTCAACCCTGCAGTAAGTCAGGGAGCTCAGCACATCAGATCTACAGTTGGTAAGTTGGAGAGATCACCACCTTCCATCAGAACTTTGACTATCTTCAGAGAAAGGGCAGAGGGAACTAGCAGTAGAACCTTGCAGAATTCAACCCTGCAGTAAGTCAGGGAGCTCAATTTGCGACTTGCAGCCTGAATTCAGCCTGAATCTTAGAGGTCAGCAATTGACTAGCTGAAACTAAATGACCTAGTTCTGCACATGGCTGCACATATTGTGTTGTGATGGCACAGATTTAGTCTGTAAGAGGCCCTTCAAATTCCCCTTTTTCTTTCTTTTCCTCATTCCACTAATTTTCTTTTCTTTCTTCGTTTTTCCAACTTATTTCTTGCTCCCCCATATTATTCTTCATCTCCCTTCCTGTTCCTGCCTTAACTTGGATCACTTCTTTTATTGTTTTTTCTTCTCTCTTTATTTTCTTTTCTTCTCTCATTTTCCTTCTCTCAAAGGTCAATAGTTTCAAAGGAAAGTGAGTCCCTATTACTGTGAAGTGGTTCAATTTTTGTCCTTATTCTTTCACTGTGTCTTTCCCTCCTTTCTTCAACAGTTTCCTAAAGTTTGTGTGGTTGTCCTGTGTCCTCTAGCTTCACTTGAAAAATTCTCAAATTCTTATACCTATCTACTGCTCTCATAGTAACTCTAAGACCCCATCCTAAAGGGTAAAGATACTATATTGAAGAGCTTATTCACTGTAAACATATGTTGGGCTGCTCCTTGATTTTGATTTAATTCACCTGGTTTAAAAGCGATAGATTAATGACTACCACAAATGGTCATTTTGTAAGCTGTGCTTGATCCTATTTTGTTGCTAATTGTATCAATTGGGCTAAAAGATTGTGATCGATTTAATGAGTTGTCCTTTCTGATACTATGAAAATGAGAATGTCTATGTGTTATTAGAGACTCAAAAGCTAAAGCAGAACTATATCCAGAAGATTTCAGTAATAATACAGGAATTAAACCAAGGACAATCCAACAACAAAAATAAAAATGAGAAAAAACTTAAACAGACACAAAGACATATTTTCAGTTCCCCAATGGCAAACTCTAGGGGAAATGAGGTTGAAAAGTATGACAGTGAACCATCAGGACACCCTGAACTCATTAGCACAGGAAGGAACAAAACAGATCAATCAGGCTCCAGAAAAATTCAAAACAGAAATTATTTCCCAGATAACTACAGAGATGGTGAGCACAATAAAAGACATGATTAGAACAGAAACTGACAAAAAAAAAATAGATGCACTTCATGATAGAAGCCATGAAGGCCCAGGATAAGAAAGAAATGGAAATCATGAATGCCCAGGAATGAAACGGAATACAAGAAACAGATTCAAACAGATATGCAGGAGATTAAAAACTCTATTGAAAGTTTCACAGCAGGATAAATGAATTTGAAGATAGAATTTCAGATATAGAAGATAGGATTGCATTCAGTGAGCATGAAAAGAGAGGTCTCTTAAAATGAGTAAGGGATCATGAGAATTTGATTCAACAACTCCTACATGATGCAAAGAAGAATAACATAAGACTGATAGAAATCCATGAAATAACAGGAGAAAATACAAATGACTTAAAAAAGCTGTTCACAGAATTAAAGACAGAAAACTTCCCAGAGGGGAAGAATTTGACATATAGATAAGTGAGGCATATAGAACTCCAATTAGCCATGATCAGAAAAATCTACGCCTACACATATAATAAAAATCCCAGAAACCCAACAGAAGAACAAAATACTACAAGCAGTAAGAGAAAAGAAAGAAATCACATGCAAAGGAAAGCCCATCAGAATCACAGCAGACTTTTCAACACAAACCCTCAGGTCAAGGAAAGCCTGGAGTGAGGTATTTCAAGTCCTAAAAGAAAACAACTTACAACCTAGAATGATGTATGCTGAAAAACTCTCTTTCAAAATGGATAGGGAAATAAGACACTTACACACACACACAGACACACACACACACACACACACACACACACACACCTGAGAAACTTCATGAACACCAAACCAGCACTAAAAGGAATTCTAAACAATACCCTAGAAAAAGACAATGAAGGGCACAACAGCACAAGCCCCAACAAAGCAAATCAAATGGGCAAGGCAAGAAACTAAAGGGAGTGGGGGAAAAAGTAAAAAGAGTCGACAAAAGGACAATAACATGACAATAAAAGGTCAGTACATATTAGTTATAACCAACAATGTCAATGGCCTCAATTCATCAATCAAGAGAGACTGGTAAAATGGATAAAGAAGCAAAATCCAGCACTATGTTGTATACAAGAAACACACTTAGTGCCAAAGGAAACCCATAGACTGAAAGTGAAAGAATGGAACACAGTTTCCATTCAACAGGATCCCAGAAAAAAAGCAGGGGTAGTAATCTTATTCACA